TCTGAATTGTTGCTGCCACATTTGTTTTTCCAGGATGGGCTTTCACTGGCCTCCCTTTTGCTCCATAGCTCACTTGCACCTTCATGTCTTGGCTCCAGCTAGTCAGCTGGGATTCTTGTCCCGGATGATATACCGAATCAATTCCTATTGGTTTATTACAGTAAGTGATTTCACTATTAATTGACTTGACTTTTATTGCTGCTGTTAGAAAACGCTATCAAACAGTTTCATGATAAATATGCAGTTTTCCTCCCCCACATTGTTCATTAATGGATACCTGAAGATATTTCATTTACAGCACTCACTGGAATTGAACTGCCATCCTTTATGAATCCACACCAAGGCTATTCCTGATTTAGGCTCCTTAGGAATATTGTAAATTTGTCCTTTTCTTGTACTTTGTGCATTATTTTGAAGGGGAAGATATATTTTGAAGTGTGCTCCCATCTTTAAAGCAGCTGTGCCTTTTCCCAAGGTAACAAGACTACTGTCCACAGTTGCAGCCTGATCCTAGAAAGAGCTGCTGACGAGTAGAACACATGCATTAGAAAGCACCTTTTCTTCTTTCATTCCAACTACTGTAGAGCCACGCTAATTATAATTCCATTTGACTTATTACTTCCCATTGAATTACATCTCAAGTATCCCTCTTAGTTTATCAATGGCTATGTGATAGTTGCTTGTATTTACCAGCATATTTTTAATCTCAGTGATTCAAACTTGTCCAGGAATAAAGTTGCTACCTACATTTAGTCCACCTACAACCTACATATGTTTAGGTGTTTTTCTTTAACATGGTAACTACTTTTAACATATGTAAGAGACACATGGCCTAGGTCACGGGTAGGCAATCTTGGCTCTTTTATGACTCGTGGACTTCAACTCCCAGAATTCCTGAGCCAGCCACGCTGAGGGAAAAGGGAGAGGTTTCCAAGCTGAGCCATGCTGGCTCAGGAATTCTGGGAGTTGAAGTCCACGAGTCATAAAAGAGCCAAGGTTTACTATCCTGGCCTAGGTATTCTAGCTCTGTCTCACTCTCCCCAGTTTTCTCATGTTAAGTTGAAAATTGAAATAAGATTTATACAGTAAAATCTAAATTTAATGGCACACCGGGGGAGGGAATATCTGTTGAAATTTGAAATTTATGTAATTTGAATCAATTTACAAAATTTTTGAATTATGTAATTGATGTAAATCGAGTCCTTTGGAGGAAACTTTGATTTAATAGCCACTAATCTTGACCAAAAAAAATGGTCTGTTGCATCCAAAGACTGCAAAATTATTGAATTTGGCACTGAAATTATCTCCATCCTTCTTCATTATAACTGAGGCAGTGCCAGAATACACCTGACTCTGTGAAGTTAAGCCAGGATGCTCAATAACACAGTAGCCCCCAACCTTTTGGGCACCAGTTCAATGGAGAGAGGTTTTTCCGCGGACTGGAGAGGGCGTGGTTTTGTGTGCTGCCTGTTTGCGTGGCCCGGTTTCTGGCATGCCGCGAACCTGTGCCTGTCCGTGGACTGGGGGTTGGGATCTCTGCAATAACATACTCTTAATTTATATTTAGGGGGGGCGCGATGGCTCAGCGGTTAAAAACGCTGAGCTTGTCAGCTGCAAAGCTGACAGCCTGGGTTTGAGACCCAAGCGCCGTGCAATGGGGTGAAGTCCCGTTACTTGCCCCAGCTCCTGCCCATCTAAAGGTTCAAAAATATGCAAACGCAAGTAGATAAATAGGTAACATTTTGGTGGGAAGATAACAGCATTCCATGTGCACCGGCATGTCATCATGCTGGCCGTGACCACGGAAATGTCTTCAGACAAAGTTGGCTCCCTCAGCTAAAAAATGGAGCTGAGCACAGCCTCCTCTTTGGACATGACTGGAGAAACCTTTACCTTTAATTTATATTTAAATAGACCATTCTAGTCAAATATCTTGTTACAGACCTAGCAGAAAATAAAGAGATGAATTATTAACGAATGACTACAGTTTTACATAAAAATCTTAAATTGGTTTGATGCAACATGCTAAAAATGTAACCCGAGTAATGCAATCTATTTTGAGTGACTTAGGGTGTATAAGGTCAGAGTTTTAATTCATATAGCAAAATGCTAAATTATTTTTCTAAACTATTGTGATATTTTGGGAAATAAAAGCTTTTAGTTCATTTCAGTAGGAGTCAATCGGGCACCCTAGTTTGGTATAGTGCAGGGGTAGGCAACCTTGGCTCTTTTATGACTCGTGGACTTCAACTCCCAGAATTCCTGAGCCAGCATGGCACCAGGCTAGAAACCAGGAGACCGAGAGTTCTAGTTCTGCCTTAGGCACAAAGCCAGTTGGGTGACCTTGGACCAGTCACTCTCTCAGTTCTAAGGAGGCAATGGGAAACCACTTCTAAAAAACCTTGTCAAGAAAACTGCCGGGACTTGTCCGGGCAGTCTCTGAAAATTTGACATGATTGAACAGAAGAAAAATTAAAAACACACACGATAACTTAGTTCAGAAGAATTTATTTAATAACTGAAGGAAAACAAGTCTCACAAAGCAAGAGTGTGAAAAACAAGATTAAGAGCTATTGCATCCCAAATAGCTTGATTGCGTTAGAGAAGTTAAACTGTTCAAAATAAATAAGGTTCTCAAAGATAAACTTTAATGTGAAATAAATACTGTCATAGCATATCTGCATTCCACAGAATACATATCTACGAGGTACCAACATTGAACTTGATCAGTGTTAGCTATTTGTGTTTCTTACTGAAGAAGTCTCATTCAGAAAAATAAATAACCCTAAAAACCTGAAGGAAGAAACATGTTCTTTTAGCTCCAAACTTGTTTTCATCAAACAAAATAACAACTTTTATTTGCAAAATGCTTTTGATTCAGTAGGAAATTTTCATCAGCGAATTAAAGAAAAACTTCCCAATATCATGAGTGCTCTTCTGCATCTTTAAGAAACTTCTCTGTATAGACAGATGACTTTCTAGAGCAGACATGTCAAACACAAGGGCCGGGGGCCAGATGTGGCCCGCGAAGCCATCCTGGAAACAGTGAGGGAACGGCCCCCGCTGCCTTGGCTCTGGCCTAGGCCGGCTGGGAGCCAATGTACAATTTTGTGGTGGCCATCTATGCTGAATTGCATTCAGTCTCAGCTCCACAAGACCGTCTGGAAACACCGAGGAACCAGCCCCTGCCGCGTTGGCCCCAACCCCTGGGTGCATGCTGGGGAGGTATCGCCCTTTATGAGGAATGAAGAAATGCACCATCGCCTGGAAGTGGCCAGCAAATGGCCCTCGCCTACTTCACATATCCGGCTTGATGGGCTCTGCCCTGGTCCCACTCCTTTCTGCCAGAGACCCTCAGATCTGTCCCACTCCTGCCCAGCCCCCCACAGGCATCTTTGACGCGAATTATGTAGAGCTGGCCATGCCCACCCAGTAGGCCACACCCACTCCATCCACGCCCACCCAGTAGGCCCCCCCCGCGGGTAACCGCAATGCTGATGCGGCCCTCAATGAAATTGAGTTTGACACCCCTGTTCTAGAGGAACACTGGAAATAACTCTAGGCAGTGGAGAGAATAGTGTAATCAGCTATCTTTTTGATAGTCAGGGCAGCAGAAATCCGCATTGCATGGTTCCAATAGCAGTACTAAATTCTAGGTTTAACCCCTTTATTCATACTATTTGAGTTCATACTATATCTCATCTACCCTAGAAAGAAAGACGGTGCTGCATTAAGTCTGTAACCTGATTGCCCTTAACAAGGTTAATAAAGGAATACATGTGAATACATTATCCAAACCAGGGTCTTGAAAAATACCAACATTAAATGTTTTTTAAAGGCAAAATCTGCAAGATCCCCAACTCTTTATATTTCATATTTTCCAAAAGATTCAGTAATCTCATAGAGATCCCTTGACTAAGGAAAAAAGGAAACAAGCTGAAAAGAGTTAGTGATCCCTGTCCTAAAGTGCCCAGCTTGTATATGTATGCTGCTTCATTCACTGGGTAGGAATCTGGATTAAGCCCAATGGGTGCTGCTTAATTATACAAATTAGTTCATTCCTGGTTGTCTCAATAGATCTTCTGCTTTGTAAATGTGTTTGGGAACAATCTTATGCTCTTCAACACAATACTGTATAATTTCTGGAAGGTGCTAATAAGCCATGTGTTTCTTCTTAAACAGGCTGAGCAGCTGATGGAACGGCTGAAAGCTGAAAGCACTACAAGTTGAGGGAAACCTGTTCTAAACTACCATCTTTGAATACAGATTAAAGGATTGGATGTAGTTGATAAGATGCTAGACTTTTTGAAAACAACTACTGAATTTGCTGCTATATGGTGTTTGAACTCATTAGCAAACTCTACGTTAAAATTTCTCAGGCAAATATCTGAATGCAAGAACGTATAAGATCACTTATCTGTTCAAATGCAAAGAACCCTTGAAACTTATGAGATGCCATTGAAATTTAATAAATGTATCTGATGTTGACTGTTTTGTCTTAATACAAGGTTTGTGCCTATACAATACACTCCTGATCTTTTTAGTATTGTCTTGGTGCTATATTCTAACACTCCAAGTGTACATGATTTACAGGCACAGAGTGGCCAACAAGCCATGGTCTGAAATACGACTTACATTTGTACTTTCAATGTAAAACTTTAGTTGGTACATTAAACTAGAGTAAGAGAATGTGCTTGAATGTGAACAGTTTTAAATAATTTCAGTATCTTAATGCATGTATTAAGATAGTTAGGGACTAATAGAAAATTTTAAAATCATGCAATAGTTTGGACTTAGGATCTACCATAAAATATCAAATTATTCAATGTGGGTCTTGGATTAAAATTTATGTTTGTCAAGGATGCAGAAATTGTAGATTCCGTAGAATCTGGCATGAAATGACTTCCACATCTTTACTTTTTAAACTATATAGGCAGGTATTTACACAGATTTGTTACAGCAAAATGATTTTAAGCAAGCACTGACATTGTGTGTTTAGCATGCACTAGACTAGTATTCAGGGAATGCCAAATATAATCCATGTTATGTTCTTTATGGATTTAAAACCTATTTTTTATTTATTTAAAACGTAGCATGCATTTATTTTAACATGACTCCTAACTGCTTGTAAAAGTTATTGACAAGATTCATTCAATTTATTGTTAAAGGTGATGGATAAACATGTTTAATCATGTTTAAATGTTAATGTGCTAAAATATAGACTGCTCTGATAATTTATGTGATAGAACTGTGAAACATATAACTTAATGTGTTATAAAAAGGAAACCTTTAATAAAATTGTTACCCATAGACCTCTTGAATATTTTTGGATACAGCTGAATTTCAAAATATTGATTACGTGTGTTACTAGATTTCTTCAAAAAATCCCAATCCAGGGTCAGTCATATTTATAATCCATATACTAGTATACTACTAAAGCAAAGACTTTTCCTCAGCATATACATTTGAAGCTACCAACTCTTAAATATGAAATTTGTAATGTAGTGGAAAATATTATTACTAATTTCAAGCAAGTCTTAATCACCCTCTTACTCATATCTGTGATCCTAATTTTTTTATTAGCATTTGCAATTTGAACAACACATCTCATGAAATGTATTGAGTTGTTTTCAACCATGTATGTTCACTAAATTCCTTTAATAAGTACATATTTCTTATTGCATAATGACCAAGTATTTTAAAACTTATTTCCAGTTTATGTCAATTGATTCCCTATGTTCTAAGCCAGACAGTCACCTTCATGTTTCATGAGCTTTAACACATTTCTGTATTAATCATGAAATAGCTGGATAATCTTTATCTTATTCAAACAAAGTGATAACTACATTATCATCTTTTCCTTGCCAAAGCATTTCACCTTCAAAGTCAACCAGGCCATGCTTCCTTGCTCTTAAGAGGACACCTACTAGTTTATTGGATATAGTCACATACTTATTAAAGAGCTGTTTAAATGTTATTTTCACTTGCCCATCCTGTTCCCTCTTTCCAGTGTTACGTATAATTAAGCATAGTTCTTCCACTTCTTTGCCCATAAGTGTGTGTGCATCTTTTCCTCTCTGCTCAGTTTTGGAGCCTTCAGGTGGTCTCCCATAAGTAGGATCCCCTCTCTCAGTGCGTAAGGTTACTTGGTTGCCATTGCTAAATGGGTTTTGTTGCTGATAAGCCACATGATCCTTGGACCAGCTCTGCCAGTTTCTTGCAAGTTCTCCAACAATGCCGTGACAACTTCTTGCTGCTTCCGTATTCGGTGTTTTGCTTTCTTCCATGTCGTAAACAGCTTTATAAAAAAGAGGAGAGGTCTGGATTTGAAAGATGAAGGCAAGAAAAATAGTTACAACAGAAACTACCAAAACTAATTTGAGTGATATTCTGTAAAAATAAAACAAGTTAATCTTTCAGAAGCCCTAACACTTTTTTACTACTGTTGAATCTAAGGAATCACTATTAAGTTTTGATTACAAAGAACACAATTTGTGCCAGATTGTATACAATGACTCAACAGTCCAATTTCTTTCATAAATGTTATGCTTAATGAAGTGAAAAACAACTAGCCAACTTTTATACAGTAGTTAGATTGGATAATTTATATTAAATTTAATTTATATTAAAAAAGTTAAATCCTGCTTGATTTCCTTCACCAATCAAGACAGAGAGATAGACAGACAGACAAAGGCATCCAGTAGCTGAGGTTAGACTGTAACCTGTGATTTACCACACCTTGTTCAACATCTTAATCACCATATGTCCACCTAGTGATGTTTGCCTGCAGTACAGAAATGGGTTGCAACTGTCTTCAAGGATGTTTTTTGCCCTTCCAATCTAAGATTTTTTTTGGGGGGGGGGAGGTGTTTCCCATCCAAGTCCACCACTCCTTAGGTTTCTGAGATTGACTAAGGCTGGCAACATGCTGCTGGACTCTTGTGGTGACCGATGTGCCATAATACTTTTTAAAGATTTAAAACAGCGTCTAGCTTCATAATCCTTGTGATTCCATCTCTAGCCTTTCCAATTTATTTATTTATTCAATTTGTCTAGCCACCCAACTCAATCAAGTGACTCTGGGTGGCTTACAATTTTAAAATGATAAAACAAACAATTAAAGAGTAAATACATTAAAAAAAAATAACTTTTTCATAATTTCAGGCACAGCTTTAACCCAAATAAGTACAAATCAGGTAAACTCTAAATTGTAAAATCAGTTGTATGGAAGTGGCATTATATATATATTATTATATATTATATATATAATGCCACTTCCATACAACAATATATAAAAAAAACTTATCCCGCTGCGGAATTTCTCTGCAAGAAAGGAGTCAAATCCTTACCTTTGAAGCACCGCAATGTTTTGGCCCTTAGAGGCTTTCAAGCTACAAACATCTTGCTTGGTCTGAAAATAGTTGACCAATCAGAGAAGAGCCACTCCATTATTCCATGCTACAGGGCGGCGCTCCCATCGCACTGCCCACCGCCTTCTTAAGGTGGAACGAGGGTTCAACATTTTAATTGTGTTATGATCCTGTTTCCGGTTACTTATCATTCAAAATAACATGATTTTTTTTGGGGGGGTGGGGGGTGAATGCATTCTTTCTGCTCTGGTGCTGACCGCCGGCACTTCTACGCGCCCAGATCCGCTAAGCCAGGGGTAGGCAACCTTGGCTCTTTTATGACTCGTGGACTTCAACTCCCAGAATTCCTGAGCCAGCCAAGCTGGCTCAGGAATTCTGGGAGTTGAAGTCCACGAGTCATAAAAGAGCCAAGGTTGCCTACCCCTGCGCTAAGCTGATCTCGTTTACGGTGAACCGATATCCCGAGGTTGCAAATTCACCGAGCTGGAAGGAGGGAGCTACCGACTTCTGCTCCTCAGCAAGCTGCAGCTCTCTCTCGTTAGCAATCAATATTGCAGATCAGAACCCGCAAAGAACCACGCTGGCTCAACTTTCCCTACCCGCGTGCTTATCTCTTTTACTCATCCTATATAGCCGAACCTATTGAAAAATTTACAATCACCATTTATTCGTCAAGCGCGTTTGCACGGCAGCACGGTCCCTACGGTTGTCATCGCCTGGCAGCAGGGTCCATGCGGATGTAGTAGTTATCCTCACCGTCGTTGGCTTTGCTCAGATAGAACGAAGCCACCGCCTTCCCCATCATTCAGATCGGTAAAAAAAAAAAAAAAATAATCCTGGATTTCTCTCCCAAAGCCGGGCGCTTCGAACCGGCTTCCTCCTTTTCCCAGTCTTGACCCCGCCTCTCCTGCTCCACGCGCGCGCGTACGGCTCTAGAGCGCGAGCCGGGGCTATGGCGTTGTCGACAGCGGGGTATAGGCAGTACTTGCTGCTACTAGCGCAGCAGAACGTAGAATTCCGGTTGCCGGTGAGTCCGAGGTGCGGAGCGCGCGCGGCCTTTTTTTTTGGTTGCCACTTGGAAGTTTCCGGGGTCTGAGCGCGCGCGGCCCGCGTCGGCGGATCTATAGCAACCGTGCATTGGTTTCTTTGCTTATCCCGGGCGCTGCAGAAGGGAATCGGAAGTCCTGCAACCTCTGGGTTTTTGCAGACGAATACAATGGGTCTTTGTAGGCCTTTGCTCATCCTACGCTGGCATGATGACGCTCCAGGCAGCGGGTTTTAGACTAGGGTTAGGGTTAGGGTTAGGGTTATGCCTTGGAGCATTTCCCCAAGTTGCAAAACAAGCAAACAAGCAAACAAAAAAAAAACTTCAAAGAAGAACGGCCTGTAAGGAGTGGGGTGGAAGAGAGATTGTTATGAGAATTTTGATTTGTTCAAGTTACAGTTGTGTAGCACGTGGCATTTTAGCATAGCTTCAGAATATTAAGTGGGGTTTTTATTAATATTATTCTTATGTGCTATCAAGGTGTTGTTCGACAATTAGCAAACATCATGATCGGTCCCTAGCCTGGTGTTTAAGATTTTACGTAGGTGGGATGTCTGTTGCGATAACATATCAATACGGAAGTTCATTGCAGTACACTTTGTAACCGGAGAGAAAGGGTTGGATAGAATTTCAGGAACCTCAAAATCTTGGACGTAGTCTTTATACACAGCTTCTTTATGAAGATTTCTATTGAAGATTCATTATGAACATCAACATGAGTACAAGAACATTCCTTGACACCCATCTGATTCACTTTTCTAGTTGATGTTAAGGCTGATCCACACTTGAGAACCAGTTTGATGTAGTTGTTAAAAGAGACCAGACTGGAGATCAGGCGTTCTACTCCTGCCTTAGGCACAGAATCAACAGAGTGACCTCTGGCCAGTCCCAGCTCTTAAGAAAGGGGCAATGGTAAACCTACCCATGATAAACCTTGCCAAGAAAATTGCTGGTACTTGTCTGTGCAAATTTGCGAATTTGATATGATTCCTGCTTACCTCTGCGAGGTTGGGCCAACTGCCATATTGGGAGGTGGGAATGGATGAGAAAGTGTAAATGCTACCTGTTGGGAAAACAACTTGCCCACATTTTCTCGCATTGCATCAACTGTATCTTTCTCCTCCACACTGCATGGAGAACATTCGACTCCATTTGCTGCACTTTGTTCTCATTCACTCAAATGCTTCTTTTCCAATTGGACAGCCCTGCCCCCATTTGACTTCTTGTCAAGTTAGCTAAACTGAAATATAGCCTTGCCTTCTCTTCTTTTTCCTGCCAAGGCACCTCTACAAACGTGAGTTGTTGGGTTTGTTGTTTTCAGTTCTCAAAAGTCACGCTCCTCCTAGCAAGAAAAGCAGTTGGCTATTTTGCTTCTCTGTGTTGATACTTACCTGGGGTAAGATGTAAATATTCTAAGGGGTCTTCTTTATTCCCATCCTTCCAATGCAGGGAAGTAATATTTGGCTGTACCTACACTGGAAGGGGTGGGAGGAGAAAGCAATTGCAGCAACTAGCATTCTGGGTTTTCAGTACGACTTATAGAGTGAAAACCTACTCAGCCTTTGGATTATTCACCACTGATTGTTATTATTTTGTGCCTTTGAGTCAGTTTTTGACTCCTAGTGACTGCCTGCAATTTTCTTGCAAGATTTCAGAAGTGGCTTCCCATTTCCACCTTCCTAGGGCAGTGAGAAAGTGACTGGCCCAAAGGCACTTAGGTGGTTTTGTGCCTAAGATGGGACTAGAACTCATGATCTCCTGGTTTCTAGTGTGATGCCTTCATTGGTACACCAAACTGGCTCTACTGAAGTCATATTTAAAGAAGTCAGCCATAAGTTGTATTTTTTAAAAGGATAAAGAATACTGTAATAATGCAATAACAGTGTTAGATATTTATTTTAGGATATTTATTAAAATGGGAACTATTGGAAAAAATACATACTTGGTTAGAAAAGATATTGGGAGAACATGTAGACTTTAAACCTGAATTTTTCTTACTAGGTATAACGCCAGAAAAGATTAACAAACAAAGCCTATACTTGATTTTACACGTCACAACAGCTGCAAGAATAATGTTTGTGCAATATTGGAAAAATGAAGGAACACCACCAGAGGAAGAAATAATTAAAAAAATACTGGAATGCGCAGAGATGGACAGATTGACTTTGAGATTGAAAGAAAAAGAAAAAACAGAATATTACCAAACTTGGGACTTATTCTATCAGTGGTTAGAGCAGTGGTTCTCAACCTTTTTAATGCCACGACCCCAACCGGCCGTAAGTCGAGGACTAAACCGGTCGTAAGTCGAGGACTAAACCGGTCGTAAGTCAAGGACTACCCAACCGGTCGTAAGTCGAGGACTGTCCCTGCCCGGGAGCGCCGAGCATGCGTGGTTCCGCCCCCTGCGCCAGCCGAGGCGTAGCTGGCAAGCGGCAGAGACGGAGTAGGCCGACCACCAGCTGGCCCAGCTCAAGGGAAGTAAGGCACCCGCCGGAAAAGGGGGAAAAAATGACGGACAAAAAAATGGCGGACAGCCTTGCTTGGCGACCCCCATAAAATGGTCGATCGACCCCAAATGGGGTCCCGACCCACAGGTTGAGAACCACTGGGTTAGAGGAAAGAATGAAGGATTAGGAATTAAATATGTATTAGCGCTTTCAAACCCAGACAGCACATTGGTTGAAAAATTATTATATGTATGTAAGAAAAAATAAAATCTTATAAAAATGTTTCCAAAATGATTTATCATATCTTACTTTTCTTCTAGGAAATAAAGTCTTTGCTCTCCCTCTGTGATGGAAGGTTCAGCAGTTCACAAGAACTGAGATTAAAGGTAAGAATTAGATAGAGAACGAAGTGTATTTTTCCATGAGATTGTTTTGTGAAGTGAATATTTTTGCAGCCAAGATTTAATTTTAATCATGATACAAAATCTTATGGTATATTATTCCTAGAATAATAAGGAATATTATTCTAATTACATTGATGTAATTTTTTGTTTGCATGAAATCATTTGAAAAGCATAATGTGGAAAAGAAAAATATTTCCTGTGAAAAATGTTGACAGTTGTTCAGTGCCATGAAAATGCAGGCTGTGTTCCCACAGAGGTATATTGGGCCCTTTTTTGGATCTGAGATTTTTCTGGCCGCATGTCTAAACTTTGAGAATTGATACCATATCCTTAAGTTGGGTGACAGAATATCTACTATCCTTGATAGCTGGCCCTGTCCTTGCAACCCATGGGTAATCATGGAAGGATCACCTTCTCTTGAGACTTCCTTTGAGGAGCAGATAGGCCAAGAAAGGCAGCTACAGGCAGCGGCATTGGCTTGCCAGTGAATCCTGCCTTTTAAGCAGAAGCCAGAATTCTATGGTGGCTGAGCACAATATATGGATAAGTTCATTCCCTGGAATGAAAATGAGCCATTTGCTTCCTTATCTTGGCATTTGTGTGACCATACAGATAGTCCTCGACTTAACGACCACGGTTAACCTCAAAATTTCCATTGCTAAGTGAGGCGATTAAGTCACTTGCGCTTCATTTTATGACCTTTTTGCCACAATTGTTAAACGAATCACTGCGATTGTTAAGTAAATCATCTGGTCGTTAAGTGACTCTGGCTTCCCCCACTAACTTTGCTTGTCGGCTGGGAAGGTTACAAATGGCTATCACATGACCCCAGGACGGTGCAAATGTCATAAATACATGCCAATTGCCCAAGTGCCTGAATTTTGATCACGTGACCATGGGAATGCTGCAGTGGTTGTATGTGTGAAAAATGGTCATAAGTCACTTTTTTCAGCGCTGTTGTAGCTTCGAACTTTCACTAAACAAGTGTTTGTAAGTTGAGAACTACCTGTACTTCAACTCCTGCAAAATATCTTGTCCCTCTGTGCCTGTTATTGGAGCGATCAGAGATAAAAATGTGGGCCTCTTTTTCTTCCCAGTTTTTTTTTATGTGTGTGTGTGGAATTGCAGGGGCCAACAGTTTCAAATCTGGTCCAAATTTTGGGTCACTAAAATATTTCATAAATCAGCTTCCTGTTGGCTAAAATAAGCAAACAAAGCAAGCAAGAAAAAACATTTTGTTTCCAATATGCACTGGAAATATATTTTGCTATATTTCGTCTTCATTTCATCACATTTTTCAACATGTCTCCAACTGCTCCCCCCACCTCCATTTCCTCTAATTTGTATCTTGGCAACTGCTGTCAGTATATCTTGCTGGAGATTTAAATAGCATTTCCCAACAAAGCTTCGTACATAATCTGCTCTTCTTTGGTAATCAGTTGGTTTCTCCCTAAGGAAAGCTAAAGTTCTACTCCAGGGCTTTGCTGTCCTTAGTAGCATCAGTTCAGGCCTGATGTGACAGAGTTACTGATTGAAGGAAGAGCACCAACTTGATATTGTTAACAGCAAGATTGAAAATCTCCAGTGGCAGAGGTCATAAACAGTGCAATCCATGCCCTTATTCACAAATGGAAGGTACAGTTAAACATGTAGCATCATCTGCTTTATCTTTTTCTCTTCTCACATTCAATTGCTTCTGCCCCTTCCGGATCTGTGGGAGACAACATGGAAAACGTGAATAAAAACACAGGAGGGGGAGTTAGATAGGTGTCCTAAGTGTAATCGTTAGGAGGAGAGAGGGATAAGATACTTAGGCTTGCACATAGTTGCAAATTTTGGTTATACATTTATGAAGTTCAGTATGCTTCTTGATTCTAAGAACAGCCAATGCCACATAGCCAACATAATGTAATGGTGTAAAATTTGAAGTGTCCCATAGGGCAGGGGTCCCCAACCCCCGGTCCGTGGACCAGTACTGGGCGTGGCATGCCAACAACGGTCCGCACAAACAAGCAAAGCCCCATCCGTGAGCAGTACACAAAACCACGCCCCCTCCGGTCCACGGAAAAACCTCTCTCCATGGAACCAGTCCCTGGTGCCCAAAAGGTTGGGGACCTCTGCCATAGGGTTTATCATCATACATTCATAATGGGAGCAGAGAGAAGTTTAATTCTTCAATCTCAGGAAGTATAGGAATAATTTTTGTTGATGTTTGCTGGCTATTGGTATAACTGAGCGGGAATACAGGCTAAAAATAAAAGTGGTGATGTTATTCGCAGCTGAGTAGTTTTGTCGGTGCATACTGAAAATTAGCATTAAAAGTCTGCTCAACGGCTCCTGTACTCAAAAGAGGGAAGATGAAGGATAACCACAGATTTTCATGCTCTGCTTTAGATGTGAAAATGGGGAAAATATTGCAGAATGGATTATCTAGTTTTAAATAACCTGTCTCATATAAACTCTGCCTGGCTCATCCAAGGACACAAAAAATTCCTGCTGAAAATCCCACATACCATAGTTTATCCCCATCTCCCTCCACTCCCCTCCTCCCCTCACCATGGGTAGCTTCCATTCTCCTGGCCCTCTAGAAGCTCATTAAAACTTGATTGTTTCAGAAAGCCTTTGGGACCTGAATACCTGATCAGAAAGGATGTTATACTCAGATGTTATAAGATAGACAAGAAGCACAGTATTTTTATAATACATGAAATATGAAAATATTGGTATGGTGTACCTAAATGGAAAAAAATGGATATTTAGATGATTAACATTGAGAAAACCATGAATGATAAGCATGGATTGAATAAAAGAGGAAATTAAGTTTAAACAAAAATCACGAAAATAGGATGCATGGTGAATTAATGAGATGATGGTTATAAGAATAATATAAGCTGATAAAAATGTGTTATACATAGATGTTATCACTATTTGTATAAATATGAAAAATGTCTGTTTAATCATTTATATATTGAAAATATTAAGAATTATATTTTGTTTAAGGTTGAAGAAGGAGAATACAAGTGGGAAAAGGGAAGATCAAAGAAATATATTATAAATGAATATACTAAGTATTGAATTATCAAATTTAATCATTATTGACTCTTAATTAATTATTATTGCCTTTCTTCTTTCTTTTTTTTTCTTTTTCAAATATATAAACCAAGACAACACGCTGTACACCAGGCACTAGAGATTGTTATTGTTAAAAACCAATAAAATATTTATTAAAAAAAACTTTGATTTTTTTTCAGAAAGCCTTTGGGACCTGAATACTCTAGAGTGCCTGCTGTCAGGATTGTTATATTAATTATAATGTTTGCCTACTGTAATTATATGTTGTATTTCTATTATTGTTGCACTGGCTGTGACTGCTCCTTTGCAATACCACTTATTGTAGTTTTGACGGAAACATTTTATAAATGCTGCATAAATACATAAGGAAAGAAAAGAAAGGAACAGAAAGAAAAGAAAGTTGTAGCTGCCCAAATAATGATGTTGTTGATTGCGGTGCTGTTCCTTGTAATAACTGTTTTATTTTTCCTGACTGCAGAGCCCATTTTGGATTCTTGACTTGCCTTCTGAAGAGATAGCTAGAAGACTAATGAAACGAACTGTATGTGCAAAGTAAGGACTGATTTGGTTAAAAAAAAAAAACAATAAGAGGGAGAGTGTCCCTGCTTCCCTTCTGCATTAAGCCAGGCATGTTAAACTCGCGACATCACATGACGTCGCACAACGTATCGGGCCGGTTTTGCCATTGCCGGCAATGGGGTGGGCGCGCCTTCCACGTGAGGCATCCGGCCTGTGGGCCGGCAGTTTGACACCCCTGCTTTAAGCTTTCTCATCCTTTTTCTCCAGCATAGGTAAAAATCTCCCTCCCTCTCTTCCCTCTTTCGCTGCCAGTGTCGGTAGAAGTTTGACTAGCTTTTGAATTGCAACGTCCTGCCTTAGTTGTCCTCTCTAGGATGCGCTTACAGCTATGTCAAAAAAGAGGCGAAATACCTAATTTCTGTTTCTATACATGAGACTTAGTGATTTCAGGTTTGATTTCTGATGGTGTGATGCAAAGGATCTTTGTTTTGCATGCTTTATTTGTGTCCCTTTGTACAAATACCATTAAATGACTTGAAGTTGTACAGAAGCAATGTTGGAAATTTCATTCATCTCTGCTGCAAAGCGACTGAAAGTAAATATATAATCTTTATTTTGTAGACTTTAGAATGGGGGTGTCAAACTGCCGGCCTGCGGGCCGGTTTCATCATACCGAAGCCGTGCCCACCCCATTGCCGGCAATGCAAAAAGAGTCGCGATACGTCGTGTCATGTGACATGGCGAGTTTGACACCCGTGCTTTAGAAAGATACTGTCTCTGGACGTATACTAAACTTTGAACTAAATTTGGTGCTGCTCATTAGGAAGTTAACAACAGGTTGAGAATCAGATGTAGCCTGCCTGAGATACTATTTCACCTGTACAAAGAGGATTGCATCTTGGCCCACTTATTTTTCAACATCTCTATTAACCCCATAGCTAAGACTGCAGATACAATGCTACAATGTCTACCTCATTTAATGGAGCAAACGGCAGTATAATCAGGTTGATTTTTAAATATCGCCTGAAAATATTGTGAATCAAGAATGATAGAAAATAATGGCCATTTGTTATGTTTTTTTTGTATTATAGATTTTTGACACACCAAGTGCATTATATCTTTTCTTTTGCATTTTTCTAATAAGTCAGAGCAATTTTATGATTGCTGTTCAAGAAAGACAGTACTGATGTATATAACACAATAACGTTTAGAGTCTAGCTTGAGGTAACACCTAGCCCATCACTTTGGTCATCTTTTAGATTGTTAGTTGATCTAACAATCTAGTTTAATTTTATTTTGCCCATCTTATCACAGTTTTAAGCAGCGAATGTCTATATGTGAATGTATTGTATATTTGTGTATGGATCTGTATATATATATTTTCTTGTAACAATAATTCACTGCTCTTGAGGAGGAATGACAGAACATGAAAGCAGAGTTAAAAGAAGAATCAGCCTAGCCCTAGAGTATCTAAGTAGTCATAAGTGGACTAAGTCCAGCTTCTCCTGAATTCTATTGATCCTTAACCAGCATCAAAATAGTGCTGTTAGTTAAGTAGAGGTATGACTAATAATAAATAAGTTTAATTGGAACATCACATATGGTCGTGGTCTTTTGTTCCTGACACATAGTTTTATAAACATTTATAGGCCTTTGGCTATGATGAAATATTATCTATGTCTTTGACAGTAGAGAGAGAGTGGAGGTTTTTAATCAAAGTAGAATAAAACATGTTCCTGAAAGTCTGTATTTATTTGCTTTCAGATCAATATTTGAGCTCTGGGGTCATGGGAAATCTCTAGAAGAACTGCATTTTTCACTAAAGAATTATCCAGTAGAGAAAATGGTTGGTATAAGGAAACATTCTAAACTTTTTCATTTAGTATGTGTTATGCAGCATATACACTATGCCATAATTAAAACTGTCTTGCTTTGTTTTAGGCTCCATATTTACAGTCCAATTTCACCTACAAAGTAATAGTCCATGCTTTCAACAAAACGGTAACACAAGCAGAGAAGATTCAAAGAATAGATGTAAGTAATAGTTAAGTTCTTTGATTGCTTAAATGTCTGTTCTTTCATAATACTGCAGAAGGAAACATAAGACAAGTGCATACATTGCCACATTGATCATGTATAGCTTTGGAGAGTTAACATTCTTTTGTTGTTGTAGAGATAAATCACAATTGCCTCTGTCCTTTCTTCTAATACCTGATGCATAGCCAGGTTGTCTTTGTTCATTCATTCAATAGTGTCACATTGCAAAGCCTTCATATGCTCAAGAATTCTTTTCATGCCTCCACATGTATTCCGAGGGCTGTAACCAAGCCTTAGACTAATCTTAACAAAGCCTTCATGATATATTCACATTTCTCTCTCATGAATTAACTACGAAAGGCATATGTACCTGTACCTAGAATTTAAGAAATTAATAATTAAAGAATTATGGACTTTTGTCTAATATTTATTTAGCTTTATTGGGTTTTATTTCTTTATTTTATAGGTTTGTTTAGATTCTTTTGCTGTTGTGTTGTACGCTGCATTTGGGAGACAGGTGGTTATATATTATAAATATGCTAAATAAATACCTACATAAGTTGTAGCCTCTACATCATGGCCGATCTGTTGGTTTCCTATTAAAACTTAATTAGCTTTAAAGTCTTCCTAGCCCGGGGCTCAGAATTCTTCAAGTGGAGTCATTCTTCTACTCATTACTTTTCAAGTCAATGAGGGGAGCATTGTTTGCTCTGTGCCTTGTCTTTTTTCAGACTATGTTATATTATATCATAAGGCACATAAGAAATGAATGACCCATGGGTCTGAGGCAATTGCTCAGCACTCCATTTGTGCGGTCCAGCACTCTGTGGTTGTCTTGCTAAAAATTGGTGAGAAAATGACCAAATTTCTGTGACAAGATTTTACATGTTTTTTTCTTTAAGGATAGGCATGACACTTCTGATGGTCCAAAATCACTATTTGTGGAGGAGGGTGGATTTGGAGGATCTGCTGCTTCAAAGTTTCCTGCTTCCATTAACACTCTAAAACATAATATAAAACAAAAAAGGGCTAAATAATTTAATCTCTGCATTCCAGGGAGATCACTAGATATCCTCTTACAACTTTTAGGAAGCTTGCAGTGCTCTGGTTTAGCTTCCCAGTTTGTAGACCTAAACAAATAATCTCTTTATAAAGCCTGTCAACATTCTTGATTTCTTCTCACTTCAGATAGTATAAAATAGCCTTAATATTTGATTGCACAGTTGTCTTCGGTATGATATATTCAAGGTGGGCAACTACAGCCATCCACCATCTTTAAATTTTACCACTCCCATCCCTCCATCACACTTCAAGATTCAGTGGACAATTTTTCAGCTTTGTTTAAGGAAGTAATTGTATAGAAATAGCAAAATGTATAGGAGTAGTAGTGTATTGTGGTTCAAAATGTAAAAAGAATTGTCCATGTAGTTAGCCAAAAGTTAGATGTCAGCAGATGTTACTTACAAACTTTTAAGTTGTGTATGAACATACCTATCTGGAACTCCGACCTAGAAGATTCTGGATGTTGGGAGAAGACGAGAAAGGATTAGTTTCTGGTATGCTGCATACATTTGCTTGGCATGAGTCTCCTATCGAGAACAATGGCTGGTGTTCCATGTCTGAGGGCGAATACTTCGGCTGAGTGGATTGGAAGCAGTCAGAGTCCCACCCCAAAGAGGGCCCAAGTGCCCTGCGAGTCAAGAAGAGTTTGCTCCATCTGAACACCAGCTTGGGAGGGTCAGCCTACAAAGTCCAAAATCTGTTAGGAAAAGAATGAAAAAAAAAGTCAAATTATATCTGGGACTGCTTGGAAGGATAGTCTGCATTGATATCTCAGGGGTCCTGGCAGTAAAAAGCAAATTAGGCATATTAACCCTCTACAGTTTTGATTTAAAAAAACCACACATGCAGTTCAAGGCTAAAGCAACTATATGCTCGATGATCCTCAAGATGAAAAAAAACCAATTTTTAAAAAGTGTACCTTCCATCAGGAATACATAATACAACCGATATATTTTAGTTTTAATAGACCACCAGTGCTATATTTTTTATTCTGTGCTACCTTATTAACTTTTTAAAAATAATCTTTTAGCTTAAGAAGAGCATACATTTTATGTTTTGGTAGTGACAGCCTTCAATTATTTTTAGTATACCTATTATAAAAGTAAGGAAGATTACTGTAGATATGGATAAATAATGTCACATGTGTAATATTGTTGATTAATGCATTGTTTCCTATTCCTCTCTCCTTCCCCCTCAATCCCTCACACCCATGTAGTCTTTGCAGTTTTTACCATTTAAAGGACGTGTAGATTTGAATAATCCAGATCATACATTTTGGTTTCTAGAAGATCATGGACTTTATCTGGGCAACACTACAGAACAGCCTATTGGCTTGTACTTTGGGAGATGGGTGAGTAAGGTACTAAATTAATAATGAAACTATAGGTTTTTAAAACAGCAATGCAATCATGGCAGATTGTGCAGATTGGAATGTGAAAGAAGTAGGAAAAATAGATGCCTCATGTGCCTCAGAGCTTAGATATGTGCCCTCTTTTATAATTTTCAACTTAGTCGTTGAAATTGATTGTTTTGAAAAAGTAAAATAATATTCTGAACTGGAAAGCATATTAAGAGTGCTGTGTTCAACGTGGTCACTTGATAAAAAAACTATGCATCTATGTTTTTTAAAAATCATTTTATGTTTTGTTTTTGTGTGTTTTAGAAGTGCTTGGTAACCAAAATAAATCTTTCTTGTTCCCTTTCTCTCATTGCCTTCCCAACCATGTATTCCACAGATTGCCAATGGACAAAGGGACCTTATTGAATCCTACAGTGTTAAAAAAAGGCATTTTATTGGGAACACAAGCATGCATTCCGGCTTGGCTTTTATCATGGCAAACCATGGAAAAGTAAAACCAAACAATATTGTGTTTGATCCTTTTGTGGGAACAGGTATTTGCTCCCCTTCTCCCCCCCGTCTTCCCCTTCAAACTTTATCAAAGAAAAAGAAAGGAAATGTTTTACATTTATTATCTGCTCATATTTTCTGTTATTTCACTAAACTTACCTGGTCATCTCCCAACTATTTAGACAGAAGAATTTTCTTTTGGGAATATGCAATTTGTACAAACATTCTAGATGTTACTAAACAACAATTTCCCAGCAGCCCCAGCCAGTATAGAAGTGGTGAAGCATATCGTGAGTGGGAGTTAAGCAACTTTGAGAATGGGTACTTGGGCACATGTTTCCCTTCCTGCTGGTAAACAAAGTTACTCAGATGCAGTATATATTATTATGCAACATCTTCAGATATAATTATGCAACATCCTCAGTAATCTAAATGTGATTTATTTCCTAGGCTCATGCCTACTTTATAAAAACTTTTATATCTTTAGCTCTGGGGCTTCATTATAACAACACCAGATCACTATTTAGAATTTACAACTACCAAAATATATTCAGTGTAATTGTTTTATTCATGCAGTCCTTGTTGCAGTTGATATCAATAATCATCGGCTTTGAAGGAACTGTGAAGCATCAGTCATATACTCTGGAAGTAGTTCAAGAATACCTGCTTGATGGCTAAGATCTGAGCCGTAATTCATGCAAAAGGAAAAAAAGAGACAAGGATAGTTTATACCTATGACTTTGCCCCATTATGGTTCTTTCCAGTAGAAACTCTCAGAAATCCCATTCATTTGGATTGAAGAAAACCAGTTTATAGAATATTTTGGGAAGGAATACAGATGTTTAGGACTTAGGAGCTGGTGGCCTTATGTAAAGGAATTTGGAGATGAGGAAGATAAGAAAAAGATGCTAACAAGTGAATTAAAGAATGGGCCATTAAGGAGGGACTTGGAAAAGGGATTGCAGTCCTGAGATTGAAGCAAATGTGAGAAAGAAACTCAAGGTAATCCTGTCTTGATGTCATTTAGTATAAGACGAGACAGAAAAAACTTGGAGAGGCTTTCAAAATTGATGTCAGCCCTTCAGGTTCAAGAAACAGACAGATGTTGCTGGAATTCTAGAAATATTACTCTGTTGTTGTAGATCACAAATATTAATTCTTGAAAGCTTCTTCCACGTTTCCTTCTATCCATCCTGTACTAAAGAAAATCATGACAGGGTCATCTTGAGTTTCTTTCTCATACTTGCTTCAATTTCTGGACTGTGTAATTACTTCTCCAAGTTCCTCCTTAATAGCTCATATCTTCCTTCCTGCCTTTAATGGCTGTTTCAAACCTTCTCCAAGATTATTTTTAGATTCCTTTACAGTCTATAATTTTTCAATATTATACCTTTCTCCTTCCTGTAGTAAGGCATATGAAAAAAATTCCCTAAAGGAACTGTATGACCAAAGAAGCTATCCTGTGTGTCATGTGCTCTGAACAAATTTCAGATTTTGTATTGGAGTTAATCATAGATCAGTTTCTTTTAAGAATTTGCTGTGTTGTCTAAGCAATGCTATTTCTTACGCGACTCCAGATATTCCTTCAGTTAGTTGTTTTTCTTCAACAAAACAGTAGAGGGTGCTTGTGTCACATGTTGTATGTGATGAACTTTTTGCTTGAGATAAATTGGTTCAAAATGAGGTATACACTAAGCAATAGACTAATTTTGCTACAAAGACAATTTAAATATTAGTATTTAAAACAATTTGCACTAGTGAGAGAAGGTAAGATTTCTGGAAGAAGAAATAAACATTCATGCCCTGAGGGTTGCTGAAAACAGTTGTCAAAAAATTATTTCTGTATGATGATGACAGGAGCCTAATCTATGCTAAACAAAAAAGGCAAAATATTCAGGCACTCCAAGAATGTTGGGAATATTTTTATCTCCACCCTACTATGGAATAAGGATATTTTGTTTCTTTTGCTCGCAGGTGGACTTCTTATAGCTTCTGCGCACTTTGGAGCATATGTCTGTGGCACAGATATAGATTATAATATAGTACATGGGTTGGGTATGTCCTTTTCATTATTTACTAGTAGAAATTAATTACATAAAATATGGTAGCAATTTTAGTCCCAAAACAGTTCCTGAACTAGGAAATTTATCAGACAGTAGTAATTACTCATTACCTCACATAGTCTTTCTCATAGTGAGCTATGATAGACAGACAATTTTACTGTCAAAAGAAAATGCAGTTGAATTTTATTCAAGGAAGAGAATGCCTTTCTTCAGATTAATTTTTCAGTCACATGGGAATTTAAGTGGCTGTTTGCAAAATGGAATGATGGTCAACTATCAAAAAAAATATCTAGGGAATGTAATCAACTTGTGCTTGCCTAAAATCCCAGCCATAAATTAAGAATCATGGGTTGATTTCCTTATGATGTGTTGATTTAGGTCAGTGTTTCTCAACCTTGACAATTTTAAGGCATGGCTGGCTGTGGAATTCTGGGAGTTGAAGTCCACATGCCTTAAAATTGTCAAGGTTGAGAAACACTGATTTAGGTAGTCATCATTTGTTTTTTTTTCTAGCAATGATGGTGGATTTTTCTCATGAGATAACAATAAAAGTTGTACGTTGTCCAGAGTCGCTATGTGTCTATCTCATCAGAGAGAAGAGAAATCATGCAAAGAGGAAACGAAAATCAACTTCCCTTTTTTATTTGTTCAAATGTTTCAAGTCATCCTAAAGTATAATAGCAGCTTTAAGGGTTCCGTTATTTTAAATGAAATATACGTAGTCTTTGGCTTACAGTGGCAGTTTGTACCAGATTGCTATTACTAAGCTATGCAGTCCTAAAGTGTGATGTCATGTGACCATGTCACTTAACAACAGTAGTTCTGGAAGTCCCAGCTGCTATAGTGAAGCAAGGACTATGCAAGTGGTTAAATGAAGACCCCATTTGACTGTAAATTTTGGTGCTAGCTTCCCATTGACTTTGCTTATGAGAAACCAGAAAGGAAAACAGGAATTGCAATCACATGGCTGCAACTCGCTGCAGCTTTGTAATTGTAAGCCAGGCACTAAGTGCCCAGATCACAATTATGTGACTGTGGGTTCCTTGTGATGATCTGAACTCTGAGGACCAGTCATAGGTTTCTCTTGTTCAGCACTGTTGTAGGTTTGGATGGTCACTGAAAGGACATAATTCGTGCAGTACATGTAGAAGATACTACCATGCAAGTACTTACTGAACAGTTGTGACTATTTTATTATGAATTAGGCGATATCATCATTGGCATTCACTTGTGATCAATTTAAGGTGAAGAGAAATATTCTTACCAAATGTTATTTAGTTGAATATAAATGCATTGCAACGACAAAGGAACAAAGGATTATTTTAATCTCAATTTTTTTCTTCTTCTTCATGACTCTAAGGCAAAGCTAGTAGAAAGAATCAAAAGTGGAGAGGACCTGATGAAAATATCAGAGCCAACCTTCGCCAGTATGGTTTGGAGAAATACTATCTTGACATATTTGTTTCTGATGCATCAAAACCCATATGGAGGAAGGGAGTGCAGTTTGATGCAATTATTACAGACCGTAAGTTAAGATGCAAAACCCGAAATAGCTGTAATTCATGAATGCAGGCTATGGGGATGATAATAAAAATGGATATGTCTATAAGCTTGTTATAGAGTTTTATATGGTAAAATATGAGAATAAGAATATTTGGACCTTTAAAAATATTTTAGTATTTTTTCAGGACTGTTGGACTCAGGCACACATTATTTTGTGTTATAGTAAATCTAGTAGGAACGTGCCTCAGTATTTTGGATACATTACAGTACCAGTACAAGTTTATTTCGGTGAATGAAGCAAGTTAGTATAACTGAAGCATCTTAATTTCAAATGTAAATCTTACATCTGGAATTTCCACAAGCAAGAAGATAGGAATTCTCCTTTACATTTTTACATTTTTCAACCAAGTCACCTTAATCATTTCCAATGAATATAAATTATTAATGGCTAAATAATGTTAGTGGAATGCTTTATTGTTTATTCATAGGTTATACAGTGCTACGTCTTGTTGCTTCCCCATCTGGAAATAACTTTGTTTCTGGAGTGACACCACATACATTTTGAAGCACATTCAAGTTAATTTTGAGAAAGCTAAAGCATTCCTGCCATTGCTTATTTGACTTGTTTTTTTAAATGGGATTGGTTAGAAAAATGCCATTAATATGCTGAATATTTTAAATATCTCTTTACTATGTATGATTATGTAATTTAGGAAATGTGACCTGATTGGAAAAGTAACACAGATTTAATGCCAACTAAATATTTGCCTGGACTTAATAATGTAAAATTGGGCTTTTCCTTTTTTTTGGGGGGGAGGGGGTTAACTTGAACCTCTAATTCTATATTCCTTGTTGAAGTAGTAAAACATTGTAAATTCCATAAAAGTAAATGCTCATTTTGACTCTATATTTTTTTGAATCGCTATTTAAAAGGTATGAATTATAGTACTATTTGGAGCAATAGAGTTTATTTCCCTAGAGCAAAAGTGTACATTAATGCTTTAATACTTGCAAAGTAAATACATTAGTCATCTCCAAAAATATTTCCCATAGAATATAGAAAAACCTAAAGTATCCTTCAATCAAATGTATTAATAATCATCTAACATTCAGATGAAATGGGCGGCGTGTAAATCTAATAAACAAATAAAATAATATCTAAACATGAATATGGGCTAAAATCAATGGTGGGATTCAGCCAGTTCGCACCACTTCAGCAGAACTGGTAGCTAATTTTTTGTTACCCAGGCCCAGAATGGACTTCCGGAAGCGGCATCCACACAGAGAACCAGTTGTTCACATATTTGAATCCCACCACTGGCTAAAATACTAAACTTAGTATAAAGTGAAATGTACTGTATAAGTAGGAATAGTTTTACAAAAATGTTGAAGTATGAATCCCAGAGGGGCTTTTTCAAAAGGCAACTGGACTTTGTTTTTCCTTGAAGATGTTTTGCTTCTTATCCAAGAAGCTTCTTAGTTCACTTCTTCGGAAGGTTCTTGGATGAGAAGCGAAACGTCTTCAAGGAAAAACAAAGTCCAGTTGCCTTTTGAAAAAGCACTTTTGGGACAACCATGACCTGGATGACTGACAATCCTCCTAGACATTGAAATGTGAAGAGTTAAAACAGTACAGTTCAAATGCTGAATTAAATGTAAAATAAAAAGGAGTGTAGAGATGATGAGTGCTGTGAAAGCTCTCTGGAGAAGGAGAAAAGGGGAGGTTGCCCACAGATGCTTTGAACAACAGCTCCTTGTGAGGAGACAGCAGCCTCCATGACTTTTAAAACTGACATTCATTCATTTATTTATTTATTTATTTATTTAATTTTTATCCCGCCCTTCTCCTTATGGACTCAGGGCGGCTAACAGCCTTGTAAAACAGCTACAACGATAAAAATACCCAATTTAAAACCTAATTAAAATGAAATATTTGCTGTGGCCTATGTCAATTAAAATTACTCTTAAAACCCCACTAAAAATTCCCTAGGCCAATCCCGCTTGTTGGAAGAGCCATGTCTTAAGGGCGCGGCGGAAGGAGGGGAGATCCGGGATCACCCGGATCTCTGGGGGTAGTTCGTTCCAGAGGGTGGGAGCTCCCACCGAGAAGGCCCTCCCCCTGGAGGTCGCCAGCCGGCACTGTCTGGCTGACGGCACCCTGAGGAGACCCACTCTGTGGGAGCNGCAACCAGTGCAGCTCGCGCAGCAGCGGTGTTACATGGGAGCGACGAGTCCCTCCCAACACCGCCCGCGCGGCCGCATTCTGGACCAGTTGGAGCCTCCGGGTGCTCCTCAAGGGAAGCCCCATGTAGAGAGCATTACAGTAGTCCAGGCGGGAGGTGACGAGGGCATGGGTGACTGTGCGCAAGGCGTCCCGGTCCAGGTCAACACACTAATTCAGGTCAACACACTAATAACAGTCAGAAATGTTCAATTTAACCACTTTATGACTATCACAGGCCTTCTTAATGACAAACTTAATTTGATACCTGATAAGTTTTACTTTTTTTGGATTTAGGAAATTTTAAACACAAACTTAGGAATTTTTAAAAAAAATTATATATTTGGCAAAAAAAATGATTTAAGAGAATTTTAAGTGGATTGAGAGACCAGAGATAGTTGGAATATTGGTTATTTTTGTGATAAGATTTGATAAACAAATATACAATTAAATAATATATTTGTGGGAAACAACAACAAATTGGGAAAAGGATCTGGACATAGAACAACTGCAACAAGAAATCCTGGATGATGCCACTTTATGGGATTTACAAAGTAGGCTGGTGAAATCTTTGAAGGCCCTTGAATGCCAAGGATTGATGAAAGGACAAATCCTGTGATACCACTGGAATGATTTAAAGGCTAATGATATGAAGAGGAAAAAGGAGAAATATAAAGACGGAGTATTTGTTCAGGGATAAACTGTGATATTTCTGGTAACTTCTAATGGACTTTGCTGAACCAGAACTGAAAAGATGACAATTTCTGGATAGATAAAAGTTAAGGAGAAAAGAATTTTTATTTGTGACTTTAAAAGAGGGTGAAAAGTTACTATAACAGTTTACACTTGGTAAGGTTGGAAGCCATTTTGTTACTGTCTTTTTTCTTTTGTACTTTTTTCCTTTTCCTTTTCTTTTTTCTGCACCTTCTGAACTTTTATTGTCGTTTTGTTTTTTCTTCTAGTTTATTTTCTATCAGTTTTTACAAGGCTTATTAAAACATAAATTACAAGGAAGTACAGTTTAAATGCTGAATCAAATATAAGTTAAAAAAACTGTGCCTACTAGTCCTTGATTCAATGGATCTTTTCGTAACATATTGCTGGTTTCCGTTTGGGGTTTGTTGAGATTAATGGAACCTTTGTAAGCGCTCCAGCTAAAAAGAATCACACCAAAGTTCTACTGCATGTTTAACAAAACTTTAAACTTGATGCATGAGCAAGAGAACTGTCCTTTTTAAGGAGAGGGAGGAGCACGGTGACAGACCACCCATCACTTCCAAAGCTCGGTGGATCCTAATGGTGAGGTAATTAATTAAAGCAATTAGCTCAAGGGAGCTTAGGGGTCTGGATACCAGCAGATGGGGTGCCTTTTCTATGCTCTGACTCTGAAAAGCCGTTGCAAAGAAGAAGAATGGCTTTGTAATATTATCACAATTTTATCATTATAAATACTTGTATCCTACTTCCCATTCCCTTGAGATGCCCAAAGCAAGTGGCAAACATAGACTAAAAGGTCATTTAGGCCACAGCTGCCTGAATAACCTCTTTTTTTTTAATGGATTTGTATTATGTTCAGATAAAAAAACCCAGGTTAGACAGCTGGATCAAATTCAATTAGCTGAATGTTGATTTGAAGAAAGATGTCTCATCTCTCTAGCTAAGAATTCTGTACTGTATTAAAAGATTAGCCAATGTATTGCATCACAGCCTTCTGTGGGTTATTTCATCAGTCAAGGCTTTATCAGTGACCAGATATGGGGTAGAAAATCAGACTGGATGGGGCAATCCGTGTGGGAACACCTGGTTATTTAACTATCAGTAGGACTTTAAATACAACAGGTCTCCTTTCGGTCCTTGAATGAAGTCAGTGTAGTTGGTTCAACAATTGGATTGCAGGCTTTGAATATATGTGTATCTGTTTGTATATTAAGACTATGGCGAGAATACTTGCTGTTATGCAGCAGTAGCAGCTAAAATTTCAGAGTTGTGTAAACCAATATGTGTCTTGTATTTATTTTCTTTGTAGCACCATATGGCATTCGGGAAGCCACCAGAAAAATTGGTTCACAGCGGGAAACACCAAATATGATTGAAAAAAGGTAGGCAAAGCTTGGATTATGAATCACAAATCTGGACAGAAAGCTAGCAGTGGCTGTGAAAGCATTTGCTGAATGCTGTAATCTTCTGCCAAAATAGTAACCAATTCAACCATGCTGTTTTTAATTAGAGAGTTTTTTTATAGCATTTGCTTGGTTTGTGTATCTCTTGTTCTTCTCAGATAAATTTTGGGATTGGGAATTTATCTAAATTATTGCTCCCATATGGAATATGGTGGTGCATTTTGGTGTAATCTCTGGAAAAGAGATAAAACGGGCAGAAAAGATTATTCACTAATATTAATTAGAGTTCTTTGTCTAAATCTTACCAGATGTCATTGTGGCTTTGAAGACCAGCAATAACAGTTACTAACATGCTGCATGGATGGAAGAGCTGGTTTTCTGTCATGCATGTTTGAAACATGTATGCTTTTGAAGTTTTGGTTTATATACTGAAACAGGGCTGTTTTGTTCCTGATATGGAATGAAACATAGTAGTTCTGGACAAGAGTGGCTTTAAGAGGTGAGAGCAGACAAAATCCTCATAGTCAGTGGGAGAGGAAGGCCATGAAAGGGCAGACAGTGGATTAAGTCACGCTGGGGCAACAGCAGTAGCTTGTGGAGGAGGATCAAGCAGGCATAAAGGCCACGTGGAGGAAGAGGGGAGAGAGAGGGCGATGCATTCCACTTTTGCCATATTCAGCCTATTAAATCATTCTAGGATTCTGTGGGTTTTATTTTGGCAAAGATCCAAAAACATTATGGGTTTTGTTTTGCCAAACCATGGCAGATCTGAAATAGTTTGGCTGAACTTTTGCAATATAATTGATTATCTGGGGTTCAAAGCAACATCTATTTTCTGTTTCATCCAAACTCCTATATATAATTGAGTTTGTAAAGCCAGTTCCATATAGGATATGTGTTATGCATGTCAGTAAGGCTATACTTTAAACTGTTGACCAGAAATTGTCAGTTATAATCTTGTATCATTTACCTTTTCAAGTTCCACTCCACATCTCCCACCAAAGTTTATAAAATTTAATCATCTTTGTTCTTCCAGATCCTTTTTGTTTTAATTTCTACATTACGACTCATAAAGGGTGCATTAAACTTTCCTAAATTCAAATTTTATATGAGAAACTCTATTCACACTTATTCTTAATTAGACTGAACTGACTAAGCAGATTAGTGCATTTTTAAAGGCTATAAGAAAACTTTTCAATTCCTGTGATAGATAATAAATGTTTGGGTTTTGTTCTCACTGTGAAACATCCAAGTTTAACAGTAACTATTATTAATTTTCAAAATATCTCGTAGCACTGAAAATCACAACCTAATTTCTTCAAATTATCAGCTGAGTGATATAATCTTTGACCTGTTAAAATTTGCGGCAGAGTATTTGGTCCTTGGAGGAAGATTGGTCTACTGGTTACCTGTGTACAAACCAGAGTAAGTCCTTATTCTACATTACAGTAGTTTTCAGATTTTAATATATAGAACTGGAGAGAATAGATTCTGAAGTTGGTGGGGATATTTTCCCTATTTGTATGGTAATCAGCGAGTACTAAACAGTGTGGATATTTGCTAGATTTTATTGAAAATTAAATCATTTGGATTTATTGGCAAACAATTTGCAGCTTGGAAAATGGGTATTAATTACATATGTAATTTATCCTTGCTCTAATAAGCCCAGGATGGCAGAAACATATTTCTCAGATTTAGAAAAACAGCTTAGCATTGTATGGACAGAGTTTTTTTTAAAATGCTTCTATTAGGCAGATTTTTATAATTTATTTAAATAACGGTTGCAAGAAAAATCTATATGGCATATTCATCCTATTTAAACCAAACTTTTACCTGTAACATATCTTTCTTTCTTTCTTTCTTTCTTTCTTTCTTTCTTTCTTTCTTTCTTTCTTTCTTTCTTTCTTTCTTTCTTTCTTTCTTTCTTTCTTTCTTTCTTTCTTTCTTTCTTTCTTTCTTGGATTCTGAAAGCAATTAGCACACATTGTTTCTGGAAAATTTAATAAGGCTATGAACCATGTGGAAGTGTATAGTCTAATTCAGTTTGAATCAACCCCTCTGGCAGTTCTGTTTCAGATTCACATATTACCGTTCGTAAGCTCTTTGACTGTTTATTCCTTCCAGATATACAGAAGAGATTATACCTCAGCACCCTTGCCTGAAACTTGTTAGCAACTGTGAGCAGACGCTTTCCAACCACACATCGAGATACCTGATAACCATGGAAAAGGTGAAAGAATTTGAGGTAATTGTTTGGATGGGCTTTCATGCAAGGAAGAAGCTGTCAGCTTTCTCATGGGTTTTTCTACTGCACTGTTGTAAGGTGTTTACCATGCCAAGCTATATTTTTAAAGCAAGTTTAGAAAGTTTGTGAATGCTTATAAATATCAAAACAGAAAGCCAAAGTATTTAATGAACTCGAACACAATCCAGGAAAGAAGTGTTTAGTTTCATTTCATTCTTTCTGAAGAATATCTGATGTATTGGTTTTTTTAAAAAAAAAAATCTCCCCCCCACTTTGTTTTGTTTTCTTTACTTTAATTTTCTTCATTTTACTTGCTTTAGTTAAGCGTGGCACACTGACTTCACTTAAAAGGTCATGAGTTTGCCCTATTCTCTCTAAGGGAGGACAGCGATCACAATTTTGGAATATTTTGTGCAATATGTCAGGATGTCTCTTTGTCTGGATGTTCATCTGAATTTATGGTCTTCCCTCACCCATTTTAAAAGCATGAAAGTCATCTGAAAGCAACCTCTAGATAGAGTCAATAGATACAGTTCCCCGGGCTACTATATTAATGTGAATCTGTGCTGGTTTCAGCTCGTACAATGAAACTTCAAAGAAAATGGAGGGGAGAGGAAGACACCATCCTTCTAGTGGATGTCCTCTGCACGATTCATGTGGGGAACATCATATGCAGACAACATTAGTAGACATCAATTATTACCAGCTTTCAGATTTCTTTTTCATATCTAATATTATTAAAAAGACCCCCAAATTAATTGGAGAGAGAAACAATAAAAATCCAGTTAAGGCAAGTGAAAAAATGATTTACACTCATTAATTTTGAATTATGTATCACTGAATCATCTCATTTCAGTAGACAAAGTAAAGCATTTTATTATTTTCATGTCAGGGCAATCCTCTCGGTGTCTTCTCAAAAAATCATTTCCCCTGACTTTATTGCGAACTCTTTGGCAGCAGTTGGATTTCGTGATCTCAATTCCTGTCATAAACTTTAAAAACTTTATTGTAGCTTGGTAAAGTTATGCCATTTTTCTTGCTATGATCAGGATTGATACTTAATAGAACACTGAAAATACACACATATTCTAAGCAGTATATTATTCAGTATTCTGTTAACAAGAGCATTTGTTGCATTTTTTTCTTTTTTAGTGTACCAAAAATGTAAAGAGCTTCTCCAGTCCTGTCATTTGAAAGGGATGGGAGTACCATAATTTTACATTGATAAAAATAAGCATACATACATTGACAAAGAAATATTTTCTAACTATGATACTGGAAATTACTTGAAAAACATTTAACCATAAAATAGTGAAAGGCTTACAAGAACTAGAACTGTTTTTAATTCTTTATTATCTGGACTGAGTACCTTGTCTTAAATGGTCTTTTCTGCTTCCTAGTATAATAATCCATTAGATGAATGCTGTGCTATTATATTGCATAGGTTACCTCTCAGGACCCAATTTTAAATAAATGTGTAACTCTGAACCAATAAATTAGGTTTGGTCATTTGGCATTTAAATTGCTTGCACTGCAGCAAGAAAATACAGTGACTGCCTCAAGAGAACAAGAAAGACTATTTTAAACATTTAATCTGCATTAAATATGTTTCTATGCTCTAGGGCTTTATGGTGGCAGAGAATAGAAAATTCACAAATAGGCTATCTGTATGATAGCAAAATGTATGTATTACCTTTGCAGTTATTAAAGGCTATATTGTCTTTAAATTATTGGTTTGAACTCGAAATAAATATTGCATAAAATACTTCCATGCTCTAGCAATGTATGTGAAAACATTATTGTTGCATATCCCTAATATAATAGGAGCATATTAGTCACACTCTGGAGCTTTTTTTTATCACAGCCTAGCATTTTAATAAAAATTCACTAAAAAAATCTTAAAAGTCCATCAACCAGTCACAGTTCAGAGATTAAGATTTTAAAATCCTTTGACTGGGTAGAAATAGGATTAAACTTGACAGATGTCAAGGCAGTAATCCCAGGGAACAGGATCACATCATAATGTTTTATTTTTGCTGTCATCTAAACATCTTCCGTACGTCGATGCATCCCCATCCACCCTCTAATTGTCTGTGGCCAGCATATCAGCTTGTAACCTGATGTTAGTGATATAGGCTAAACATTTCTGTTTGTTAGAATTAGTGTTGGTAGTATTATTACTATACTATCAGGATATGCATTCTTGAGATAATGTCTATTTTCAGCAAATATCGAAAATGTTACCTATACTGGTACTGTTCAGATCAACATGCACAAGAGTTTATTATTAAGGGAGCAAATCCATTAAAATCTTCTCTTGAGAATGTTTCTTGGATAGGTTGAATCTTTTTAGGCCTTGCATTCTCAAAGATTTGCTCGAATTATCTTTATTATGCTAACTCCAGCTCCTCAACATATGAGTTCTTTCAGAAATTGAATTCCTCTGCATTTGGAAATTAAGGCATACATTTGCAGCTTTGGCTACCACTGAGCTTTGTGTTTGCAGAGTAAACAGTAAAATGCAAGCTAAAAACAGCTATTTGTTAATTCACTTTTATTTGGTTAAGGACTGTTATCCCAAGCAATCTTCCCATATAAAATGCATTCTTTCTTTCTTTCTTTCTTTCTTTCTTTCTTTCTTTCTTTCTTTCTTTCTTTCTTTCTTTCTGTCTTTCTGTCTTTCTGTCTTTCTGTCTTCCTTCCTTCCTTCCTTCCTTCCTTCCTTCCTTCCTTCCTTCCTTCCTTCCTTCCTTCCTTCCTTCCTTCCTTCCTTCCTCTTTTTACTTTATTTTATCTTACCTTACCTTACCTTACCTTACCTTACTTTACTTTTCCTCTTTTCTGGTTTATTTTCCTCTCTAAGTTTAAGTTAAAAGAAAAGGGTTTCTAAAGGAGGGAGTACAAAAATTTGACGCTCACCTAGATCTGAACTTGAACAAACAATAATTTATTAAATTGAATCTAATGTCTTCAGATACGCAGTGTTCCCAGCATAATTTTATAAGTGCGCACTAATATTTTCGGTTGGGGCAGTGCTTCACACGAACAGACACTTATGTTTTTATTATGTATTTACTAATAGAATTAATTCTGTCTTGCTTTTTGGCTCACACTAAAGACTGTTCACAGCAATAAATAATGCACAAAATAAGGAAGCCCTATCAGCAGGACATGAAAACAACTGAACTAGCATGTAAAACACAGGAAGTATCATAGGTCTCCCTCTGAACATTACGAAGAGTAATTTAAACTCCTAGAATGGGGTAGAGTGGGATGTCAGTTAAAATGACTGTTTTACATTCAACTCATATATCTTGAAATATCATGCAAGTCTTCTCAGGATGAGAAGGTATGCTCATGCAGGAGACCCTAATCCATTTTGTTGTTGTTACTGTCATCATCATCATCTTCATCATCATCAGCCAATTTTTCAAAGAATCAGCAACCAAATATTTTTTTAAAATGCATGGCGGGGTAAGGCTGTCTTTATTTAAACAATAAAGAATTAGTACTGTTGTCATAGTCTGGCAGTTTGAGCTCTTCTAGCATCTCAAGATATAGCAATGTATGCTTTATGTCTTCACCATGTATTTTAATCCTTTATAGGAGGACAACTGTAATTCTCAAATATTGGATAGCCAGTATCTGCAGTACAAATGTCATGATTCCTTTCGTGAGAAATATTTCAGTGGAGTGACAAAGAGGATTGCCAAGGAAAAAAAGGACAGCCAACAGTAATCTGTTTGGAAAGGAAAAAATGAAAGCAAGGAACGCACAAGGCTTGTATTTGGCTATTAAAACATCTGGACTTCTACATTATGTAGAAGCTTCAGAGAACAAATACTGTTTTTAATTTTTTTTAAAAACTCAAAGCAAAAACCACAACATAAGTGAAGGACAGTTTTTTTTCATTAACTTTGTTTATACCAGATTATTGCACAATAATTTTTTTTGACCTTTATTTAATTTATTTTAGGACTTCAAGTTCTAATGATAATTGATTACAACCTTTATCACTGTTAGCCTTTCAGTCTATTACCTCTAGCAAAAATGAAGACTATTGTTTCGCTGAACATCTGGAAGTCTTAAGAAAAATACAATGGTATTTTGGTTTTCATTTTTTTTTTCTGTTGTGAAGATCTATTTCATTTTCCTTTATTCTTTTGTAACTGCCATACAATAAATTCAGAAAAGTTTGTTCTGGATTTTAAAATTATATTGTCTGTCGCAGCAATTATCATTTCTTACCGCCATTTCTAGAACCAATACGCCCTCATCCTTCCTGCCAAGATCCAGTGTGGTATTACGCATCTGAAACTCATCTGTATCTCGGATCTACTATCACAGCCCTGATGTTGCTGCTTTTGGTATTTGTGTTGCTATTTTTAAAATGATTGTTATGGTTGTTTTTTCCCCTCTTTCATTTTTAATTGATTTTATGTCATTATAGGAATGGCAGGTTGTAACTATTAGAAATAACGAAGTCTCCTTTCTACTAACTGATCTATGCCAGATTTGCTTCCCCTGTTCTTTCTTAAATATCAATAATTGACACTGCCCTTATATGCATAACTTCTAGCTTGGATTTTTAGATATTCAACACTCATGCTTGGCAATCCTGCATTTGTGATGATCATAAACTTGTTAAAGGATTTTCGTTTTTAGTAATGAACTCAAGAGATAATTTCATATTGTTTTAAGCTTGTCAGGAATGATGTAAATGTCAAAAACAGTAACTTTTAGGATACAAAACACAAATACTGGAAGCAGTGGAAATAGGTAAGAATAATAAACGGGAGGGAAATTCACATTCTGTTGCTGCCAAATGCCTGGTGTATAAAATGGTTGAGTAGCCATCCAAAAATTAAATAAGGAGGAGATTGCCATTTGAGGTTTTTTTTTCCAAAACAGCAGCACCACTGCCAAAATAATCCTCTCCCCACCCCCACTTCTCTCTATGCATACAATTTGTTTCTAAAATCAGCAGATAGCTGAGACAAGGCCGCCCCCTTGCAAGTTCTCTATGACCTCTTTTCTCTCTCAAAGATGGATTGGATTTTTCCTTGCCAGAAATGGTTCATTTGCTTTGGCAGCAAAAGATTGTTTTGGCTCCTACGAGCCAAGCTGACTCCAAGCTGTGTTAAATTCCAGTCTCTTGCCCCTGGCCGAGACAGTTGATTCAGAAGCCTGTTCTGATGGTGCTTTGGGGTGCTTTGAATTTTTTCCCCCCAGTGTTTAAGACATTATTTTGGACCATTATTTTCTTTCATGCCATTTTTTTCATTGCCACGGTAGGCAAGAAGAAGAAAAAGAATGCTGTGTTGTTTTGTTTTTAACATGGCAATGTATACACCACTGTATACACTGTACATACAATGTACGTATAGTGTTCTAACATTTGAGGGACTGCCACAAAGAAGAGGAGATCAACCTATTCTCCGAAGCACCTGAAGGCAGAACAAAAAGCAGTGGATGCAGACTAATCAAGGAGAGGACCAACCTAGAAATAAGGAGAATTTCTTGATTGTGAAAAAAATTAACGAGTGGATGGCTTGCCTCCAGAAGTTGTGGGTGCTCCGTCACTGGAGGTTTTTAAGAAGAGATTGGACAGCCACTTGTCCAATAGAAGACCTCCAAAGTCCTTTCCAATTCTGTTACTGTTATTCTGTTACTTGATTGATATTAGATTGCTCTGTTTCACCCTCTCCCATCCATCCTTTTGTGTTAAGTCATCACCTTTGAAGATGGACCTGACGGACCTGCATATATCCCTGCTCTGTTCTCAGGCACAGACACTTTTCTTTAGTAACAAACCTTTCTAATGCTGGAAAACCAGTGGATTGAGGAAGAAAAGCAGCTATTTATGGTGCTGATTTGCATCCTCCTGCTTAGGCTGTTAATGGACTATTGATATTTACTATTTGTTACACACTATTTGTAACCTTTATTGGGTAACAAAGTGCATCATAGGGCAACAGTTTTTCAATCAAGGAACCCCAAATGGGCTACCTTAAAAATGTGCTCAAAATCCAGCCCTCATTAGTCTCATGTAATTGAAAATTTAAGGATATTCACCCAAGTTATATCCCCAAAGTGATGGCCCCTGCAGCATCGCCACAATTAGCTGCAGTCGTGTGATCATAATATTTGACTACACTTTTCAACACATAGGTTGTATATCACAAGGAAAGATGGGAGGGACATTCCTGTCTCCCTCTGGTCCTGTGCCCAGTCAGCTGGCGGCAAATTCCAATGAGTGAATAGTGATTGGCTGCTTTTTTCTGCAGCCAGAAAATGGAAATCTCTTAATGGTGGTAGGTGGTGAGGGAAAGACAAGGGAATGACTCGGATGCCTGTTGCTGAGGTAGGACTGGCAGGGTGGTGGTGGCTGTTGACAAGTGAGCCCTCTTCCTTCCTGGTGAGAGGATCCTTGGTGACATGCTGGGATGGGGAGAAGGGGTGCAGTTTTCCTTATAGTCCATGGCTCCTTTGTCCCTCTTCCAACAGCAAAGTGACAGGCAATTTTGCCAGTCAGTGGAGGAGGAAGAGGCAACTTCATCAGGGCTCTGCTGCAGGTCATGAGGAGAGGGAAAATGGTGCTAGCCTATATTATGTTTGGAAAAAAAGATGATCTAATAGGTTGTTTACTTTTATGTGGAAACCCCAGCACCTCAATCCTAAATTTTTCAGGTTTAAAAATGTAAATGATTGTATCACCAATGATGTATTATATTATGTTTTTATTTGATGGACAGCTTGCACCTTCCAAAAGTTGGGAAGGAAAAACAAGTTATGTCTTTTATAAAGCAAAGTGGAGACTGTATCACCTGCATTTCAGGAATGTACATTTTCATTAAACGCTTTTTTTTCCACATTTCAGAAGTTTCCATAGAAAATATTTCATCAGCTGCTCCTAATTTCTTTGACTTTAAGAGACGGTTTGAAACTATCTCTTGAAATTAAACAGAAACTTACTGCTTGAGAAGCAGATGTAGAAAGGGTAAATTCTGGATTTGACTAGCTTTGCTATGGACTACAAAAAATCCCATCTATCATACTGTTCCTTTCTCTAGAAGGAACATTATACAAAGTACAGAACATAGCTACTAAGCAAAATATATTAAAGGAAAATAAAAGCAAAGCAAAATGACCAAAGCTAATTTATACTAACACCATTAACTTTGTCATTCTATGCCTTTTTATCTTTGTTAACCATCCCTGCTTTATCACATTTATATAGATTTTTATTTCCAGATCCACATTCCTTATTATATCAAATTAACGTTTACTGAATACAAGTGTCCACATATTTAATCTCCCAAATCAGTACACCTCTAGTGTCAACATTACTGTTTTCTCTCATGCAATCCCAATAACGGTCATGCCATCTAATAGAATATTTTTTCATGCAGCATTCTGCACAGTTTTATTGTAACATGCAATTATCACTAACAGATTCCTATTTTGATATGTCCTGCTATCGTATGTCCTCACAATAATTTATACACTTTCCTTGAGTGAATTCATCAGTTACATAAAATCATTCTACCTTCATCCCAGTTAATTATATTGTTCTCTTTTTATTAGTTTTACAAACGCACAAAACCTTCATCTATTCACGTACTTAACAATTTAGTCCTCTTATTTTCCAAATCTGCCGAACTCTGAAGAATGACTCTTCTTCTGTGATCTGCTGTGGCTTCCATGATAGTTTTTTCTCTTGAAACCTACATGCCAGCTTACAGGGGATTCTAAGGAGTATTTTCCTATTTCTCCAGCATGATTGGATGGAGAATTCACCAATGGCTTCCATGATAGTTTTTTCTCTTGAAACCTACATGCCAGCTTACAGGGGATTCTAAGGAGTATTTTCCTATTTCTCTGCACAAATGACCTGGGCAAATGACATCAGACCACTGCAGAGAAAAAACTTTGACCTTGAGAGTTGTATGTAACTTCTTTCTGTTTCAGGGCATTTCATCCTTATATAATTTAGCGAAGAACAGTTTTGACAATAGCCACAATCATTTGGTATTATCCAAACTAGTTTGGCTATTGCAGGTGAAAGGCCCATATATCTGAAGGGCATTAGGTTGTCTGTCTCTAAAAGGATAAGTCCAAGAACATGAGGGTTTTTTTTTTAATAATAAAAAAGGTTTTGTTGTTTTTAATGTTGTAATGTGTTTAGTTTTATAGTTTTACTATGGCTTTATATGTTGCTTTGACTTAATTGGCAGCTGCCTAGGTTGGTTAGAAGATGGTCAGCCAGATAAAGATTTTAAATAAGTAAATAATAAATGAGTTATGTAATTAACTAATTTTCATTCTGGTGGTATGTTCCAGCAGAAAAACTATGTATATATGTATGCATGTATGTATACACACACACACACACACCAAGAGGGAAAGAGTAAATATATAAATGGATCTATGAATAAGAATGAATAAAGGGGCAACAAAGATGAACAGATGAACATCAGGAAATACAGTTGCTATTTTTAGATATATTCAGACTCTGAGTTTGAGGACTAAATGGTAAATCTGTAAGGTTAAGGAATGAGAGAAAGATGTAGCATCGTTCCATATAGGAGCAATACGGAAAAAAATGAGTTGGCTTCATTAAGACAACAGAAGCTTCAGGATGCTCTACGTGACAATATTGAATAGTAAATTGTAGACCATAGTGATTAAAAGCTGTAGCAGCCCTGTTAATTCTCCCATTTAACGTTGTACTTCTGGCATTTTTGGAATAGGATGGAGAGGAAACATGTTATAGCTCAATGTCTGTGGAGATTCTCAGTCATCCAGGTCATAGTTGTCTCAAAGATGTTTTTTTTTCTTCAAAAGGCAAACTGGACTTTTTGTCCCTGAGGAGGAAGAAGAAAACATTTCACTTCTGATCCAAGAAGCTTCATCAGTTCTGATGAAAGGATAGGTTCTGATAGAATAGTAGGGGGTGATGGAAGGATTGTATTTCTTTACAGTCATCTGGTCATTAGCATTCTCTATACTATATTAGATCGATCGATAAATGGATAGATAGATAGATAGATAGATAGATTATATTAGATAGATAATAGATAGTAGATATATAGAATATATTCTCTATATGTATGTATATATGTACAGTGTATATATATATATGTACGTATGTATGTGTAGTCCCCAACCTATGACAATTGAGTCCAAAATTTCTGTTGTTA